TGCCCCGACGTTATCAGAATGTTTTGGTTTGTTAGCACGGTGCACGGTACGAGCTCAACGAGTTCCTCGACGGATCGTGAACTATTGTGACGTTATCACAAACGCTGGTCAAAAGCCCCTTTGGCACAGTAACAGCTATCGTTTCTCACCAGGAAGCTCTTTCATATGGATATAGAGAGGATATGGAGGGCTTTTCTAAAATGGTCTTTTGAAAAAGGTGAGATGAAAAATGGATCGTCTAAGGGATCGATCTTGGCTGATGACAAAATTTTGCATCTTGGGAATAGCTCCTTCTAATCAGGAAAGTCTTTCAGGATATGGAGCGCTTTCGCAGAATCTTCTCCGGCATTGGATGTGGGCATGTTCATGAAACACAGAATATATTCAATTATATTCAATTATCAATATATTCAATTATTTTTTGCTGAGCGGGCCTGTGGATACCAAAAAAGGAATGAAATATCTGTCAAGGAAAGCTGGAATTGATCCTCTGACAGATATTCTTGCACAACTTCTACTTTGAAAAAATCAGCTTGGTCCCCGGCAATCGCCGTAGCATACCTTTCTGCGTAAGCTTTGCTTCCCTCCTCCTTCATTGCTCTCCAGCTGCCACTGCAGCACCTTGAGGAATGACCAAAAGTGTGCATCGTAGAAGTTTATACAGCCGTTGAGGTGTTATCAAAATCGTGCCATTACAAACATCGACATGGCAAGCCTGCTAGCTAGTAGATTTGTTAGCGGCTTGCTTATTCCATTAACTGCCTTATCACTCACTTCATTTTGCGGACAGGCACACAGACAAACTTACAAACAAACCAACACACTAGGTTGTGATTTATATAATAAAGTGATTTCAAAGAATTGGAAAACGGGAAAAGTGGTCGCCCCTGCTGGTAAAGATCGTTTGCAGCCATTGCAGCCAAGGAGGAGGTTGTCCATACTTCAGTGTCCGTTTGAGTTTTTTTTTGGAGCCATTCGTTCAAAGTTGATGGAGAGCTTCAGTGGAGCCGCCGTCAGAATAAGTGACCCAGGTCGCATGAGGTGTTGTCAAAATTGAACCGCAAATCTCCCAAAACGGAGAACCTAACCTTTTTCGACCCAGCAGAGCTAGAAACATCTGTATTCTTCAGAAAGATCTAAACTCGCAGTTCTCTATGTGTGTTAAGATTTGCGAAAAATTCAATCTGAAGAATGTTAACAACTCGAATCTTAAGAAATCGCATCCGCACAAAAAATGAGGGGACAATTTTTTTGAAGCAGTGAACATTCACAAAAGTTGGAATACGCAGAGAGGAAAGAATTTGGCGGTTTCAATTTTTCTTACCACTTTCCACATTTGTTGATTCGATAAAATTTACAACCTTTAAAAGAAGGAACTGCGCATGTCTGGTGAATTCTCAATTTCCTACTGTATAACAGAATACATAATACAGAGTCTTCAACCTGGTACTGGTTTTCTGGAACTAGCTGCCCTGTATTTCACAAATCCACCTAACATTCTGAACAGTATTAACTCTGAAAGGAGAATGCCAATGCAAGCACGCGAAGTAGCCGCACACAGGTTGCATTGGCGCGCTTCTATTAGGTCATCTCATTCAAACATGTCCAGACATCTAGAGAAATGGTGGGAAAAGTAAAAGAGCTAGAGCATTCTACTTGCTTTTGCTTTTAAGCTAGCACACCCAGCTACGGTATACCCTAATTTAGTTTATAGTGCCGCAGGAGGAAACACTTAAACACATAAAAGAATTCATAGTGACCCAAATCGAGGTGGAATTTCCAGATGACTGGTGACACACGTAAAATTCGCAACTCGAATTCTGTGTGTGCTGGCTCAACTTACGCGTGATACAGTGTTCTCGAAGTGCTACGTTGAAGATATGGTGTGAGAGCTCAAAGAAGGGAGAACGGAAGCGAGTTGTGGTTGAGGACGCGTTCATATTGTCCACCTTGCCCAAGAAGAGCGGGTGGATGAAATGAGGTTTCAAATGGCGCATCACAGATGTTGAACCTTTGCGATGTTTGCCCACGAGACTTGCAGTCTAGCTGCACCTGTTACGCAAATTGTGCCCAAAAATTGGGGATGGTCCACAGAACATGTTTTTGGATATCCCATTTACTCCCAGATGCAGGAGTCCAGAATCGAATTGGTGTCTGTAGCAATGATTTTCTCTGCCGATAACGGCATTTAAGACTATCAAACTGGACCCTGCTCATAAACGAAATTTGTGTGTAATTGTACGCTGAGGCCAAGTCAGAAGTGTCAACTTTGGATTAACGCGAATGAGGAACTGCCCGAATTGGATCACGAGAAGTCACGTGGGTTCACGTGGATGATTATTATGGCGATGGATTTCTGAGTGTGCCTCTTAAATGGCTCTGTCGGGAAAAAACCTCCGGCGTTTCTCAAGTTTATGGCTTGTTTCTTAGCGAACAAATTGACAAAGGAATAGCAGTATAAAACTACAATAACGATATCATCACCTATCGATGCCAGACCCCACATAGCTCATATTGCTCACGGGTATTTCGACCAAACGGATATTGTGACCTCTTCTTATCAGCCGTATTTTCCCAACTGCAGCCGTGCGACCTCAGCTGTTTTATCGAACTGAACGCCCTACTCGTTGGGAAGCGCTACGACAATTCGTTGATCATCTATACTGACATCAAAAGCATCTTGTCTATACTTGTTGAAATGAAGAAGCTGCGCGGTGTCCAGTGTTTTCTAGACGCTGGGATCGGGTCGTTAACAACGACAAGATCTGCTTGACTTCACACC